TTCAAAAAGGGGGGAAAAAGATGGAAGCAGTGGAGATATGGGGCGTGAAATAAAGAGATGGAGAGACAGAAGTGGGGGGAGTGGAGCGAGGGGTGGGAGCTGAGCCCTGCAATGATCCCTTTTTAACTGCTGAATGGGCATTTCTGCCCCACACACACACACACATAGATGCACATCCTGCCCCGTGACTTTTCTCTGTTAACCACAGAAAATGTCAATAAACAGTATGCCCATCCAGGGTTTGCAAAAACAAACTTGCCTTGGTTGGATCCTGCTGCCAGCTGGCCACACACACACACACACACACACACACACACACACACATATACACACACTGTGAGATTAATATGCTGTGGCGAGCCCCTGCCTCTCTCTTGTGCGTGTGCGTTTGCCAGTGTGTTTTACATCGGAGGCAGGTTAGCAGCAGACAGGCTAATGCTCTTCTGCTGAATGAGGCTTCTTTGAATTGGCGAGCATAATGAACTTCCAGGGATTAGTCCGAGCCAAACCCCACCAGCTTACAGCTATAGTGCCCCCAACCTCCTCCTCCTCCTCCTCCTCCTCCTCCTCCTCCTCTCCAACCCCTCCATCTCCACTCCCAGGGGAAACTTGGACAGAATAAACTGGGTCAGGCTTCAACAGCAGTCAGAAGGGGCTGCGAGCTTCTCCACCGAAAAAAAATAAAAAATAAATAAATAAAAAAGTGGCGACGAAAACAAAACAGAGAGCTGTTGAGAGAAATCTTTTCATGATCGCTGTTTACACACACTGGCGAGTGAAAGAGAGAGGAAAGAAAGGAGGAAAAGATAAAGTGGAATAAAATGTGATCTGCTTGGCTGCTCACTAATTGCTCCATTTCCTTGTTGCATGTTTTGTCTTTTATCAGACTGGGTTCCTGGTAAAACGGTTGTTCCTATTAGCCTACCTGCGGGTTGCAGTTTAGCAACCAGACAATTCATCTGACTAAGTCCCCTATCTTAATTTATTGGACCCATTTACCTCCAGACTACTCGTTGCTGTGCGCGGCCTCTGTTCCAGTGGTTAGTCAGATTTGTGTTTGCCAAAACAATCTGCGGTTTTCTTCAGGAGTTTTCGTTTTTGTTTGTTTTTTTTAAAAAGCGGCCTTGTACATCGGCCTTGCTCCTTCAAGCTGACCTCACTTCTCGATGTGTTTGTGTTTTCTCTAGCGAGCTCTACGGATTCTTTTTATGGATTCGAAGTCTACATGAAATCGAATTTTTTTGACATCAATCTCCTGTGCTGTAGCAGCAAAAAAAGAAAGCAATTTGTCTCTAATCATAAATATTTTGCAGCACATCTAGAAAGGCTTTTTTTCTTTTTTAAAACTTCTTACCAAAAGGTTGTGTGACTTGGAAGAATAAAAGTGACTTTTTTTGTTTAAACCTCTTTGTATGCGTCAACAATATCAAGAGTAAAACATTAGTAATGAGTAATTTATACGCTTTATTCTGCAAATATTGATTCAGCGAAGAATTTTTCTGAAAAAAAACCCAATCCCATTCCATCACGTAACAATTCACTTCAGTTAACCTGACAGTACCTGACATTTTCTGGCAATCTCAGGAGGCTATAAAGAGAGTAAATGCATAGAATTACAGACAATACTTTTCTCAGAATTTGCATTTTTCTAACATTATCTGGAGACATGTAATAGAATTTGCTGCTAGATGATAGATAATACGATTTCCTTCTCTTTTTTTTCTTCTTTAAAGTCAGTGCTCTAAATGTCGTTATTTCAAAAACGTGAATCTCTGCAACAATCCGGGGTTTGTAGTGGCTGGATGGTTAAAGAATCTTCTCGTGGCGCCTATGAGTGCACAGCATGCACGAACACAGACTGACAAAAAAAATACCCACACACTTGAAACACACACACACACACAGGCCACAGCAGTTCATGGAAAACTAGGGCTAAAAAACCATGTATTCGTCTTCCATACAAGGTGTGCCATATATTATTCATCCGAATTTGAATGAAAAAACTGTTCAATATTTATGGCAGGAAAGTGAACAAAGGCAAGAGGCATGCATTTTTGTACGCAGTTTTAAACATGGGAGACAGCGAGCTAGCAAGTGAGCAAGGGGGGTGCCTACTTTTATTTTTTGCATCGCTGGGACTGCGTCTTTCCCTGCATGTGTGCGTGCGAGCTTTTTATTTTCCTCCCTGTATAGAGCTTTTTTTTTTGTTGTGTGCATTGTTGATATGCTTAAGCTAGATAAAAGTATTTATGCAGATAGGGTGCCGTAGGAGCTATTTCACATTTATAGGGGCATTGCGGGGAGGGGAAGTCAAGTCAAATTTATTTATAAAGTGCTTTTAACAAACAAGGTTTATCTCAAAGTGCTTTACATTTCGGCAAAGGACACAAACAAAATGCAAATAAAAGCAAGATGAAAGAGAGGGGAAACAATCCTCATGAAGAAATGAGGCTGTATAGGAAGGAGGAGGAGGAGGAGGAGACGAAGAAGGAGGGGAGTACAAGGGATAAAACTCGCTGCATACTTTAATATCAATTTACGCTCCGCATGTATGATGCAAGAGTTGGGCTTTTTCCTGCAGGTGTGTAACTGCGTGTATGTTTGCATATGTGAGCGTATGCATGCATGTATGTGTCTCGGTTTCTCCCAGGAGCATCTTTGCATGCACAGGCAGATGTTTTGTGTCGCTTCCATGTAGCAGGGGTCAGGACCCGTCTTTCTCTCATCTCCTTCCCCTCTTCTCTGCTTTCACGAGCATCTGTTCGTCGCCGCCATGTTGGTGACACCTGCGTCCCACTGGTATCGCAGAGGAATCAGGTCACCTTACAAACCGGTTGCCATTACAGCTGGAGTCGCAGAGAGAGACGCTCGCTGCCCCTTATCTCCTCTAAACACCCATTTAGGAGAATGGAAATGAGGAGACAGCACTATAAATACCTTTAATTCCTCAAACTTATTTGCATGATGCGCTTGCAACCTGCGACTGTCTTTGCTTGTGTGTAAAGTCGATGTGATTTATTGCTCTTAGGAATCTCATGACTGGCAAATATCAAAGCAGAAAGGCGGTCAGGAGAGTGCAACATACCCAGACATCTCTCTTTGTCTGACACACTGTTTCTTTTCTTATCTAACTCAAGAGAAGATGACAAACGGAGGAGGGCAAGTGTGATCAGGCTGCCTGACAAAGCAGCTGCTTTTGTTGTCTTCACCTCACACGTATGTGTGCATATGCACGCTTACTCCAACCTTTGATCAGTACAAGAAAGGCAATGTGCAAACAAACAGACATTATAATGCATTCCACGCTTGGATCTGTAAAATAATGATTGAAGTGTAATGTCTAGTATTGATGAAAGAAAAAACAAACTGTGTTGTAAAGCCAGAACTCAAAGCCAAATGTGAGATCAGGGACTGGGCAGTTTGCAGTAACATCAACATTTCTACTCAGGCAGCAGTAGAATAAAAGTGTGGACAGTTTGTCGTGACATGTGATATTCTTTTTTTATTAAATGTGTAGTGTTGCACCTGGCAGCGTGTGCACCGGAAGTGATGCTGTTGTGTCAGGTTCTCTATACTGTGTTGCATGTGGTTTATCGATTTTCCTGTGTGAATCCGCACACACATGCTGCAGATGGGCTCAAATCCCCCCCCCCTGATTCTCAGAGAAAGAGAGGGAGCGAGGGAGAGAGGGAGAAAGGTGTTGTGTGAATGGGTGTTCTTGTCTGAGTCATCCGGGTTTGTTTTTCAGCTCTCTCACTCAACAGTCCATTAGCTCATTGTTGGAAGAGCTGGTATTGGATTCTAGCTGACATGTTCCCCCAAGTCTGAGAGCAAGAGATGAGGGCGCACGCTGTGCTGAGTGCTCTAATATTCTCTTAGTTGTGATAAAGAAAACTGCGAAGAAAGAATAAAAGTGAGAGAGGGATGCAAGTGGAAGACCTGGCAAATAATGAAGATGGACAAATCAGAGTAAAATGTGAAGCAAAATGTGAGAAGATCATTATCGAATTTCGTGTATCTATTTAGCTGGAATTTCCTTTTCAAATAAATTATCGACCGTTTGGAAAATGTGACACCAACTCCGAACCAAGTGATTGCAGAGACAAAAGTAGCACATAATGGAATGTTAATGAAGTTATTTGCTAGCTGGAGAGCTTTGCTTTTGACATACTGAGAAATAAACAGCAAATATCAAATAACATTTCTGTTCTACTTTTGGATTTGTACCATTTTGGAATGAAATCCTTGATTCCTTTAATCTGGGGCTCTCTTTGAGGAGAAAAAAAAAAAAAACAGCGTATCTCCTAAATTCCTCTCTGTACTTGTTTTCTTTCAGGGGCTGCCAACCACCACAGTCAGTCCACACTACGGCCTCCACTGCCCCCTCCGCACAACCACCACACTTTGTCCCACCAGTCTGCCAACAGCCTGAACAGAAACACCCTGAGAGGGGGACGAAACCCCATCCACGCCCCGGCTCCCGGCACTGGAGATGGTCCGACCACCCCCGAGTCAGTCCAGCTACAAGACAGCTGGGTGCTCAACAGTAACGTCCCGCTGGAGACCAGGTCAGAAAAAAAATATGTTCTCCCTTATATATATATTTTTTTTGTTTGTTTTTACGATGGGCAGGTTTACCTGATGCTGATATCTGGAGCCACTTACAGTAAGCACAGCGGTAGAATAAGACTTGAGTAATCAATAGCAGGGAATGAAAGGTCAGAGCTGTGCTGCTTCAACAACATTCCTGTGAGCACAGAGTGATGGTGTCAGACAGAAATGCCAGGAAAGAAAATAAGAACGGTGAAGTAAGTAGCCCTGATACACTTAGGCCAACATAAAACTTGCACACTGAAGAATGTTAAGAATACAAACTCAAGAAAGGAAAGCAACCTTCATGGAGACCTGGGAACGAAATCAATGCAAGGCCAGCGCTAAGTGGCAAAAAACGTCACACAGGTCATGGCTATACTAAATTTCCAAATTTTTGACCGTGGACTCTTGAAACACTTGTTGCTAGAACCTTACTGACGGGGTGAGTTCAAAAGCTGCCACGGCTTACAAGCCAACACACCTTCAGAGCAACGCTATCACTTGCCAGCCACAGCTGCCTTCTTTGCTGGTTTGCTAAATGAACGCTGCAGCTTTTAACTGTATAAATGTTTTTTCAGGAAGCATGTGCTCTGGAGTTTTGGAAGGTACAACATAATAAGATGAAAGCTCCATTTTGAACCATTCCCCCCCGACTGCGCCGAATATTCGGATATTCATCATTAATTAGGCCCCAATATCCAGAGACCAGAAAGTGCTATTCGGACCAGCCCTACTAGTTATCATAACAACTATGAACACTGAATATTGACAACAAATTACCCTTCAAGCATCAAGCCCAGGGCTGCAAGGTGGCACAGTTGGTAGCACTGTTGCCTCGCAGCAAGAAGGTCGCCAATTCGGAGCACCGAGATCTTTCTGCGTGGAGTTTGCATGTTCTCCCCGTGCAGCGTGGGTTCTCTCCGGGTTCTCCGGCTTCCTCCCACAAAGTCCAAAAACATGTTGAGGGTAATTGATGATTCTAAATTGTCCGTAGGTGTGAATGTGAGTGCGCTTGGTTGTCTGTCTCTAAGTGTAGCCCTGTGATAGACTGGTGACCTGTCCAGAGTGTATAGATAATGGATGGATGGCATCAAGCCCTCCTTCTATCTCGATCTCCGTCTTGACAATCCGACAGCCTTGCTATTCCACATAAAAGAAGGTTTTACATTCGGATTATCGAGTCATATGGGGAGAATTCCATACCACCAAAGGTGACGGCTGTGCCACACATGTTCCACCCCTTCCGCCAAAAATCCAGTCATCTACTTTGTAACAGACAAACCAGAAAACATCCAGCCAATTGTGCTGTTACGCTGATGCAAGCGCCATGTCTTCAAACTGTGTTCATGCATGTAAAAATGCCTTTCAAACTTTATTTTGGGGCAAAGTCACCAAACTTTTAAAGCAGTTTTTAACAGACATGACTCGTGATTTCCTACATGCAGTTTCTGTGTCATGGTGACCATTGAAGCCGCAGCTATGGCTCTTCATATTCTCTTAGACAAGTTTCTGGTCTTGTTAGCTCGAAATAGCTGCCCAGAGGCGCTACCAAGACAGCTGCCAAATGGCAAGAGTTTTCTGTGAGGACTTTGCCACTACAATCTCTAACTCTGAGAACACAGTGAGGTGCAGACCTTTTCACCAGCAATGCAAATCCATAAAAAATCGAAACACAAAACTTTCTTCCAGCACACTGAGCAATATTCACCAAACGTGAATAAAGAACTAGCAATGGGGAAGAAAATTGAATTAAGGCAGTCAAAGTTTGCCATAGTCAAACTGTACCTCAAAGCACCACACAAATTATTCTGCCTCCACAAGTGAATCCACTTATCGTGGCAATTGCACTGGAATTAACTGACTTGGTATTTGGAAATGTTTTCTCTCATAAATGCTGTAGTGATTGGGTCCTTTATGATTTTTTGTTGCTTTACACCCACCTAACACCATTTTTTTTATTTTTTTTTATTCAGTCAATCATTGCTTGTCTCCCCCACGATGAGTTCATACATTTACCATTCTTCTTGTGACAAATTGTTTGAATGCCTGAGAGACTGATGTCCTTGGATACTCATCCAAGGCAGTGATACAGTAGCATGAATGGTGCGGATCTAAGGCTAAGAAGAAAGGAGGAAGATCTGAACTCCTCACTTGAACAGCTCAACTAATTTGTCTCTGGGAGACTAGCATAGTTTTTTAAAACACCATCACTTGTAAATGATTCATCTATACTTTCAAGTTCACTGAGCAGCCACAACACCACAGAAAATCATGCAAATGTGCACAGTGCTACTGAACATCTCCCCTGTATGATTACCAGTCAATATGTAGCCCTCCAAACCAGAAGGAAAATCGCTCTGGGCTGTGATTCAAGAAGGTGTGCATTCCCTACCTTACCTCCAAGCGGGACACCCATAAACGGCCAACATGTATCACAGCTATTATGTTTGCAACCTGGAGTGAGGGACCAGGAAATACAAACCATTTCACACAGGCTACACATGTGCCTTTGCCAGTACACAAAGAACACTTACCAGGCAAACAGAGCATTCATGCAGCGTATTACTATTTATGAGGCATGCAGTGAAAGGGACACTGCCTACATGCTCGCAAGCATGCGCACGGTCGCTCTCCGCACATTTACTCTGCAAGCTGTAGTTGTGTTTCTCCTGCTGGGCGCTGGGGCTTCCAGCTCTGATGGGCCCGGATAAGCTCCCCGGAGTGCTGGCCCTGTGCAGTATTTATGAGGCCTCACCATGTTTAATTCAGCCTCACTGATCTCAGGTCCATACTCAACCTATGCTGATGCATTGTGCCGGTATGCATGATGGGTAAGAAGAATACCTACATCCTTGAAACTGAACTATTTCCAGTTGCGACTGCTTATCAAGACCTGTGTTGCCATGGGGACACGTATGCCACAACACAATTTGAGGAGAGGGTAGATTCTTGTGATTTGTGCTGCCACAAAATGACGCGCTGATCTGTGGCGAAACCAAAATAAATTCACGAATCCTCTTTCCGCCGAGGCTGCCTGTGATTGCCATCTCTACGGATTTAAATGAAGCGTCACATACACACACCCACGCTGTTGAGCCCTTCTGCGGCGCCAGTATTTGGTCATGTTCAGGTGGTGGGGTTGGGCATGGCTCAGAGCCTGTTGCTGCGAATGGAGCCCAGAGCGGCACACAGAGTTTCCAGCTCCGCCCTCCAGCCCAGATTTGGGCCCTCCGCTCTGGTCCAGACTGTTGCGGAGGCTGGGTGGGCTCGCTGGAGCTGCTGGAGTTCGCGATTGGGCCCCAGCCAGCCGGGCAGAGCCAGAGAGTCACACCATCCCTGAGCTGGCAGAGGCCGTCCTCCATCTCATTATAACCAGCAGCTAGATGAGTAACCTGCTCATGTGAGGGAGAGAGGATGTGATTGTGTACATTTGTGTGGTGCCACTGCTTCCAAGCATGTGAGATTTCTGTGTTTTTTTTTTTGACACTGTGACTGCTCCCCACTGTAATCATATGTAAATCTTGGCATTTGTTGTCCACTCATTATAGTAAACGTGTGTGTGTGCGCGCGCGGGCTTGTGCATGTGTGTGTTTTGGCTTGACCCGGCAGTGTGACAGCGCTGAGAGGATGAAGATTGATCACCTAAGAACACCCCAGGGCTTGGATGACTGGCACAGAAGGAGAGAGATAGAAACAGGCGAAGGAAGGGAGCGGTGATATAGCAAAGAAATATAAGTCGGGAGAGTGGCGGGGGTGAGGATGGAGGGGTGTGGGG